TTAAAGAAGGAGGATTTAGCTCACGTTCGTAATCAGAACAAATATTTACAGATAATAATTCTGGAACAAAGAACAAACTGCAAATATTAAAAACAAATAATGAACTTTAAATGACCAACAGGGGTCAGGTCCAGGTGGGTGTGACAGAAGCAGAGTCAGGCTGATCAGAGCATAAAACATTACAAAAACTATGGGAAAAGTACAATAAATGAATAAACAAAAATCCCAACATAACCACCACACCAAGGAGGAATCATTACATGTTGGTCAGTGCTAACTGGATTAACAGAGATGATGTGTGTGATACTGCAGTGTTGTTTTTTGGGTAGAAGGTTAGTCTAACAGAGCTTTTCAAAGCTGCAGAGCTTTTCTTATTGATTTAYTTTTGGGGAGTTTTTTTATAATTATTTTTACAGCCTGTTTACAGTAAATGTCATTTGGAAATTTGCACAGACAGTAGGTTTGTATCAGACAAGCAACTATTGAAACAGGGGAGGCTTTCAAAGTGTAGAAACTTGTGAGTTTTTGGTTCACTGCTTCCAGTGGTTGAGGTCAAACAGCACAATCAGCTGCTGTTCATTACACCGGCTCTTTCTCTTCAGCCAAACTTATCAGTCTCCCACTGACTGTCAGGATTTGTTTCTCTCTGTGTGTTCAGTTGTCCCTGCTCAGTGTCCCATAAGAATCACACTGAATTAACCTTTGGAGGTTTGGACTTCAGGGCAAAATGATCGTGTGCYTACTTAACGGGCAATTAGACCCTTTGAAAGCAAAATGTTGATCCTTGTTAGTTGGCATGTTCAGGCGTGTTTTACTTCTGGCCACAGTTTGCTGTGTGGGTCTATGAAGGATTTTTACAGACAGGTATACAAGTAAAACACTTCATCAGACAGTCAAATGACTGTTAGATCATGTGTTCCAATATGAATTAGCTTTGAAAATCTCAACACACTTTGTTTTTATGTCCTCAACTGAAATGCTCCTGCTGYTATACATTAGGGTCATCTGCATTTTTGTGTTCAGCAACTGTTTAACTCTGTTGACAATGTGATAGTTTTAAACAAAAAAAAATCCTTTTGGCACTGACATTTGAAGGGGAGTTGCATGTTCACAAAAATCTAGGCTGTAAACAGTGATCCACAAATGTCTTGGACCTTTGTCGACTTGTAAAGAAGACAAACTTTCCATCAGATAAAATGTGCATTTGAGCAGATGGTCAAGCAAATGAAGGACCATAAACTGGGCCTTAGACAAGCTGTGTACAGTAGCTGCCATCTTTATGATGAGGACACATGCTGTATGGTCTACCAGTTTCTATCATAAAGTTAAGAAAATGTAGCTACAATGGGTTTTGTTTATAAAAAATGATGTTATTTGTGCAGTTCTGAACTTGTAGTTTTTAAATCTCATCTATAAATTTACAAGAAGGCTGCTTTTTTAAGTTTGTATGCTTTTAACATTGCCTAAGTTAGGAATCCCTGGCTGCAAAAACGGAAGTTTAGAGTAACAGATGGTAGAACTCCTTTGTACCCAGAGTAATCAGATTTTTAAATTTCAAAATTTATAGTTTTAAAATTTATTTGCCGTATTTATTCAAGTATAATACGTAAAATTAAATCCATAAAATCATCCATGAAGTTGAGGGGTAGTATTATACTCGGATAAATGTTTTTACTTATGTATTTTAACTGAAATGTCGGCTCATTCACAAAATGCCTGAGTCCTGAAATGAGACCGCGTCGTAAAAAACAGTTGAAGCAAGCTTACCTGTGACACTCCTTCATGCCTCAGAGTGAGATACAGTAGCAACAGATCTAGACAGGCGACATGAAAAAAGGGGGGAAAGTAGTCCTGCACCTTAGTAATGATAGCAAACTAATGACATTTGCGTGTGACTGGGCTGCTCCTGGAACAACAACAAACACGTTCATCTGTAATGGCTGCCGTCTACCGGTGTTCTGAAAAAGTTTGTATCCCTGAAAAAAAGTTTCCCCACAAGAGGGGGCACTGGCGAGTAGGAAATAATCTGTTTTTCCCCTTGAAGATGGCCCAAATCTCATGTGAAGTCTCTGAC